TTTTCAGCTGCAGGGTTAAAACTAGAGGGACCTGACACCCAGACAACTTCATTGAGCTGATGTGATCTGGGTGTCTGTAGTGGTCCTTTAAGTGTGTGTGCATCTGCATGCACTGGCGTACATACCGCGGTCGCAGGGGTCGCAGCCCTGTAACCCCTGCGACCAGGTGCCCACCACCATGTGTTGCGGCCCGGCCCGCGCGCGGGGGGGGGGGCCCACGGATCAATTTTCGCACCGGGGCCCCATGGGTCATGTGTACGCCACTGCCACTCAGTGCTGGCTACCAAAGGCTCCTGCACGATTCGTGCCTGTTACCACACTGTCTAGCTTCTTTTAATCAGCAGAACAATGGTGCTTCGAGTCTGCAGCCCACAATTCCTTTATGCCAGTGGGCTAGCAGGTAATTGCCCCCCTACAAGTCCTCGCCTGCCCTAAAGGTATCAGTCAAAAGGATTCTGTATGAATGGAAGTCAAATGATTACAATTGTACAAAAAAGATTTTGCCTAACACATGTCAAATCTCATATCCTGTAGCCTGGTGAGAAAACAGCAGGGAGATACGAAATGGATGTTTTCACATGCATGAAAGAGCTTTTGATAAAAAAAAAAAAAGAAGTAGAATAATATATTTTTAAGGAAGTCTCCCTTATAAATATGGACAGTGTAACTGCTACTGTATGGTCAAAACAAATAATGAGTTCTGTCTTCCGCAGTCACTGTCAAACTCCATGGGCAAATAAAATCTGGAGTATGTTACCGTAAATAAAACAAGATCACATTGAGCGATGAAGAATCATCAACATTACAACATATTCTTGTCAAGCACTCAAAGTCAACCATTTACTCTAGAAGGGAACGAAAATCACCAGCGTCATGACAAAATTTACTGTTTGATCATAAGCCTTGTAATCACTTAGACAGGTGGCTGGTCTATTAAGTTCTTCTCATCAGGGAAACAAATGTAAAATGCGACCATCTGCTTATAGGAATGGTTAAATGTGTATGTCCACCAGCCTGTGCAATATTTTATGTGTTTTACATCTGAGTATTAAACAGTTCATAGGATTCAAGAACCACAATTAAAGATTATGTTGTAATATGAGTTCTCCCATCAAAAATATATATATAATTAATCTTAATGATGGATAGATAAGGTATTATTGAAAGTTACTGTGCACGCTTTCATTCTAGCTGTTCTGTTTTAGTCTAGTGCAAAATCTTAATAATGTTCATGTATAATTTAAAAGGCATCCAGTGGCCCTACATATAAAATTGGATTTACTGTTGAAATGGACATTAAATATTCATACAGCATTATCTACTCTGTCCAGCAGTGACTGTAATATTATTCAATGTTAGATGAAGACTTCCACTGTTATGTTTTAAGTACAGTAATTTACAAAAAATTGCATTTAAAGTATACGGTACCATAAGAATATTATTTGAAGGCATATTCACAGCCTAGATATCCATCATAATTAACATGATAGGTCAATACATTTTTTATTGAGTCTGGGTCAATATTTAAAATTTGAAAAATGAAAGCACAATGGAGCAATTTAAAAAAAAAAACAAAAAAAAACCTGATTTATTCAGCTATAAATTAAGGCACTGTCATTAGTACATGACCTTTCAAAGTGCTTTATAGACAACACTTTTATCGTCACATGCTTTCTCAATAGGATTCTGTGACGAAAGCAACTTCGCCACTGGTTTTTGGTGGGGCCTGTTTGCCAGCCTTCTACCCTGGGACTATGGGCCCTTTGATAATCCATGTTCAAAAGTACTGTTTCTGCCTCTTGGACTTTTAACTGGAACAGATTCAAACATGTGGCGGCGGCCATCTTAAATTGTCCAGCAGTGTTTTGTCGTCGAGTGTATGGAAATGTTTTGGGCATGGGACCATGTGCAAGGTGGATCAAAAATAAGACTTCCAGGAAATTCCTGAACCCCTGAACTGATCTGGTTGATTTTTGGATATGTTGTTCACCCAGATCGGGGCTATAAGGGGATTAATTTATAACTTTTTTGACATGCGTTTTTCCGGATTTTTTTGTTTATGTTATTCTGTTTCTCACTGTTAAAATACATCTACCATTAAAATTATAGACTGATAATTTCTTTGTCAGTGGACAAACGTTCAAAATCAGCAGGGGATCAAATACTTTTTCCTCTAACTGTAGGTTTTGTTGTGGTTCAGAATGTCTCGGTACTTAAGGGCTATTTGATGTATTGTAACATAAAAATGCAATAATGTCATTTGAAAACAAAAAACAAATTCCAACCACCACAAAAATACCATTTGTTGCTGTTGATCACATAACACAAATATACATATAAGGAATGAATATTTAACAATCTCTTTTTTTTGGCTAATGTTTTAGTCACAGTATTAGTCTTGTAAAAATTAAATAAGTTTTTGACTATCTTTACTGTTTTCCAAAATTCGAATTTAAATTAAATATATATGGGATTTAATGTTATCGTGCCTAACTATTTTTTGGGAATGTACACCGTCTTTCCTGCAATGCAACAAATGTATCAGTCTTTCCTTTGTTCACTTCTTTTTTTCTGTCACAATATATTTGTTGATCTTTGGAAATAGATAGTTCTGTGAAAAATGACTTCAGCTGGAAAAATACACTTTTTTAGACCCGTTTAAGAATAATTTCATCAATGTGAACAGATAAAAGACCAAAAATAAAGGGAATTTTTTTTTCAGAACACTTTGAGAAATCTCCCCCATTAGGTACAGGTACAAACAAAATTTTACAGACAGCACAGAATGAATACATTATGTTTGAAAGTCTGTGCTCGCATGCTTACAAACTAAACGTAAAGCAAGTAAGACAGATAAAATGTCAAATTCTGAATATAAACTGAGAGGAAATTTACACAGTATTATATTTATATATACTAAAAAATATACTTCTGGAAACAAGTAAAGGTGTGCTTACAGTACAGGGAGCAGAGATGCAAAAGGACGTTTTATTGTTAAAGGGTAATAGCACAATTAAAAGTGGTTACACAACTGAGCTACAGTGAATAATGGGAAGTAGAATTTCGGTATCATACTTGTTTGATTGTGAATGTAATGATTGAGCTAGGTGTGGTTGAATCAGAAGTAGTTTTACAGACACTGCACTTCAGATAGCAATAGAAGACAACTGTAAGGAGGCAGTTGAATTAAAAGGTCGCGTGAACAATTAGCATAAGTGGGGAGATATTTACAGAGTTATTTACTAAAAGGAGAATTCAAAGCAAATTCAAAGTGAATTTCAAATTTAAACAGTTATGATAGTATGAAAGCATAGCTGACTTCGATGTTTTCCATTTTAGTTACCTTGACATTAAAATTGAAGTTTGCTTACAGTTGACCTTGAATTCTCACTTCAGTGAATAACCTTGTAGGTGTTATCACCATATTTGTGAATTTGAACATTTACATTTAACATGGTGATTGAACTTTAAGGATGTTATAACATTAGCACTGTATGACATTATTAACATTATACACAAAGATAATGAAGGGTCACGGAAAATATAGTAAATACAAAAAAGTATACATACAAAAACAATCCTTCATAAACAGTTTAAATACAAAATTAACATTAGACATACTATCTTTTGGTAAATAACAACAAAATAATGTTCATTATCGGGCACTAATTTACCACATATCTAAAGCATTGCAATTTACATTGTAGGTTTATTTTTTTTAAGGTAACGTTGCTTTTTTTTTTTGTAAAGTAAATTAATTTGTAAGAATACTACAGTAAGACAGACAATGTGTCATTAAGTTGTTATGGAACTATTGGCTGGATTACAAAGCTTGCTCCTTAGGGCAATCTATGATTAGTAAAGTGCCAAAGCATCCCATGGATTTCAGAAGAAATTTTCAGAGCTGATTTCTAATAGCAACCTGACTGTATATCAGTGTACATTACACAAGGACGATTAAACTAATGAGCATTCACGCATTTTAGTCATAATTATTCTTGAACAGATTTACATTGGTTTTGCATTTTCTCTCTGCATCATTTCAATGCTGAAGACTGTGGTTTCATATTAACCTTGCTTTGAACAAGACACAGAAACAAAACAATAACTTTGTGAAATATAAAAGAATGCTGCGGGTGATCAAGAAATAATTTAGGACAATAGGGCTATGATGCTAATATGGTTGAGTTAAAAGCAGTGAATGAATGGTGATGGTGGGGTGGGTAAAGCTAAATTTGAATAAACACTTTTTAACATTTATTAAGAAGATACGTTTAGAATATGGTTGACCAACAGTTATCTTTCCAGTCTGCATTGTGCTATGCCTTCAGTAATGTTCTGCCAGACACAAGTTGGCAAACCATCAGGGGAGATGTTGTTACACTAAAGATGGTCATTACACGTTACTCTTAAAATTATGTTTTGCTTTCAAAATGTATAAATTTATTTTGACCAGCATACAATAAAATATAAAAATAATCATACTTGGAAATTTCTCTCCCTACGTGGGTAAGGAGAAATGCCCTGGCAAAACTGGGCAGGCTAGAAGGAAAATAATTCACATTTGGATGAGCAATCAGGCAATGATGGGTTAGACTACATACTACGTCCTTGCCTGGAGAAGCTCAGCTGCCAAGCACAGGGTATCTGGGAGAACACTGGCACATTCTCAGTTATGATACTAAGTACCTCTGCTGCAATACAATTAATTCTCATTTCCAGGTTGTTTTGAATGGATTTATGTATATGTTATATATGTATGTATCTATTATCAAATGCACAATGTTCAATACTCCTGTACTTTCTGAAAACACTATTCCATTTCTAGATATAATAGTTTACCATGATAATGTAAAACGCAAAGCATGGGTTAGGGGGGTTTTCTGAGTGCAACCTGGAAAAAAAAAAAGTAGTTTGTGTTTATGCTTAGGGTTAAAATATATGTCTCACCTTCTGATGCTTCTCAAAGTGGAAGATTTCCAGCATGCCATGCGGCAGGATAGTATGTGGCCTTCCATGGTGCTTGACAGAACCATGTTCAATTTGTATTGTTCTACCACATGGTTAGATCAAGCACAAAGGAAAACCCCATTAAGAGTCATAGCCAGTGTTAGGCAAAGAGAGCAGAGCGTTGAGAAAAGAAGCACTGAGAAGCATAAGCTGCAGATTTTAGACAGTTGCTGACCACATTAACCATTCATCAATAGCTGAGATGGTCAATATTTCTGCCCTTTGTGGCAGCACCTTTTAGATTTAGAATCTGTTAGTTTATATGCACAAACAAAATACTCAAAAGCAGACTCTGCAATGGAGGACGGAGTGGTTGTGATTGCTATCATACAACCCAAAACAAAAACTGCGTATTTACATTCACAATGCTAATAAATAGAACAAAACAACAAATATAATTGAAACATTGGCCTGTATGATGCAGCTGAATGTACAGGAATGGTAGCTGCTCAATCATGTGTACAACAGTGAATACAAATACAAAAAAACAAGTTCTGCGCTCAAACTTCCATCACTCCCGGGGCAGCAGCAACGACCATAGTACACATAAGCCTCAATACATACAGTAAAAACCAAAGAAAAAACGTTACCTGGGCTCTTCCTAAATCCCTATGCATATTTAAACAAATGGAGGTTACTTAGTTTCTCCAATGGCCATGAGAGAGATTAGCCCACCTGCAACGTCAAGGCAAACCTCTCAGGTGGGTCCTAATCAAGGTGAATAGTCAGTGTAGGACCCACCTGAGAGATTTGCCTTGACATGGCAGGTGGGCTAAACTCTCTCATGGCCACTGGAGAAACTAAATAACCTCCATTGTTTAAATATGCATAGGGATTTGGGAACAGCGCAGGTAACTTTTTTCTTTGGTTTTTACTATGTGTACAACAGTAGCTGTTCCATTGGCATCCATTGGCATCCATTGGCATCACTGCTAACTGTATTGAACTCACATGAAGGCCTTCCCATTATTTTCTACTGCAAAACACAGAATGTACATTTAAAAACAAATATAGAGATTTAGGTTTCCATTGATGATCGCAAAAAATTTCTTGATGGAAGTCAGCAACTGTTTATTAACGTTTGGTATACTTCGGTTTGTGTGGGTGCAAACCATGCATTTGGCACCGTTTGGCAAACATCTGGTTTATTATTTATATCATTCTCTATCTCAGTGCTTTGCAAATACACTGATGAGTGGGATGGAAATTTGTTTTCTGACCCACTAGACGATTACCAGAATTATAGCTCCACCCTTCTTGAAAACTGGAAAATATTCTCCCCCAATGATACGTTGACATCAAGGTAATTATAAGTCCTGACTAGTGATAGTTATTCTGAAATTTGATGAAACTCACTTGTAAAGCACTATATACTCAGATGAATGCATAACAGTCTTGCGGGATCCTCCAGAGACCTTAATGCTGCACTCTTGCGCATGCACAAAAGTACAACAGTGATGTCAGCTACAGGCACTGAAGCACCAGTAGTTGAAGAGGAGCAGAGCGAGTAAGATGGTGTGTCCGCGAGGGACAGGTTCAGATAAGTAATCTCACCCTTACCTGCAGTGGCGTTTGAGAATTTGACAAAGTCCCCAGACGGCGACAGTGCCACTTTAAGACAATTTTTTTTACCGAGATTTGGTGAATTTACCCCAAACCACTGGAACTCAGATACACATATGTTACCAAGAAAGTTATTTTTCAGACAAGCTCAGGTAAGGCATTTTTTGTCACTTGTTACACAACATATTTCCTCAGTAAAATGGAAGCAAAACAATTAAATCTGTTATTTAGATTTCACATGTCTAATTATATACCCAACAATTATTAAATACAAGAGAGTCAAGGTTCATTGTTTTCCATTATTTTTATTACGCCTTTGAGATACAAATCCATCATCTCTTTCCTAAGCTAACATTACTGGTTTGGTTTAGTACTGGGGTTAGCATAGTTACATAACCTGAGAAAAGATTTGTGTCTTTCAATTTTCTCACATTTTTTTGCTCCTATCCCAAAACTAGGCAAGAAAAGAGTTTGAAGCTCTTTCCAAGATTTCAACAATAATTGTTGACTTAGAATGGGAGTCAGATCTCTCCTTGGATCAAAGGTGTTAACCCACATATTACATATTATATCCCTGAATATTATATTTTTGGCAATAATTCATCCAGTTGATGTTTAAAAACCTGCACTGACCATCGCTTCAAGTATAGAATTCCACATCTTTATTGTTCTTACTGCCTTTGCCTTAGACTAAATCTCCTTTCTTCTAGTCTAAGTGTGTGACCTCATGTCCTATATATAGTCCTAATTATGAGTAGATTTCCAGACAATGGTTTGCACTTGCCCTGAGTATATTTGTACAATGTTATCATATCAAATGCTATATCTAGACCCCTCCCTGCACTTTTTTTTTCTAGTGTCATAATATCCTTTTTTAGAACAGGTGCTCAAAAGCACATATCATATTTAAGGTGTGGTGTTACCATTGATTTGTAAACAGGCAAAAATTGCATTTTTCATCCCAAGAATCAATGCCCCTTTTTATACATGACAATACCTCACTGGCCTTAGCAGTTGTGTGTGTGTATACAGAATTTAGCACACTCACTCAACTGTAAACTAGCTTCAAAACCACAAAATATATGTTTAACTTATATTATTTTACAATAAGATTTTCTTGCGGTTAGAGCACTTCTATTAAATTCATGGTTCGGACTCTGGATTTTTCTTGTTGGCTTTGCCTTTGGTGTTTAAGGTGGTTTCAGTTTGTCATTGATCGAGTAACAAAGATTTTTACATGCAAGGCTGATAAAGAAAGTATTTTAACATGGATTTTTTTTATGCATCATTACCTACTAAATGACTTATCGTGCCACAACACTTAGTTTTCCATTAAAAAAAAACATTTCAGATAGGCGTATTATATTATTTTTGGCAGCCAACATGAAGTCAATGAATTACGACAAACCACCCATCAGCAGCTGCCGAAATTTATATTCTGAACGCCAAGCAGGAAAATTAATGGGAAAAACAGGTAGTAACGTCAGTCTTGGCATTGCTCACAGATTTTACAACTTTAAAACTGTGTTGATATTTCTATTGAGCATTGTGAACAGTACAAACACTGATGAGGCAGCCTGTCAAGAGGACAAGACTATCTGGGAGGGATATGCACTGAACAAATATACACTGAATTTATATTTGGCCTCTTTTTTTCTTGCAGCACTTCATTTGGCCACTACGTGCACGCAAGACCCAGCACTATAATAATAAGACTTAAAACAAACAAAAAAATGACAACAGAATGCACACAACATTTAAGGGCTATGCAATTTTATTATCATATGTATATTAAAAAAAGAATTTCAACATATTCCACAGTACAATCCATACCAATAGTATAGCCCATTTACCTACCTGCTTGTCTAAATGCACTGATATTGAACACTGCCTACACACTTCTCAAAAGTATGTTTATGTGTATGTTAATATTGAATTTTATTGCACATTGCAAATGCAATAAAAACACTGGATTTAAGTACTTAATATATTATATTCAAAGGAATATGCAGTGTGTAGGGTTATGTATGTAAAAGAACCAATGCGATATAATAAGTCTATATGGTTTATGTAGAATATATAAATAGGTACACGTGTATACAACATGTGTATACTTGCCGTGTGTATAATACATATACAAAAATACAGCATACTATAATTTATAAAGCGCCACACGTTCCATAGCATAAATTATACAGAGAAAAGTGTTCAAAATAAAAACACTGAAAAAACAGTCATGTTTTCAAAGATCACTGCACAGGAGCAGGCAGACATTTTTAAGCGATTGAACTGTAGATGCACCATCTACAGTTCCAAATTGGTAGTGCAACAAATGCATAGCTTCCAATTGTAAAGCAAATAAATAAGACAAAACAAACCATACACTGAACAGTGGGTTGAGAACCGAGTTGCAAAATAGAAAATTAGGGAAAATTCTCCAACTAAGAACAGCAAAAACAAGAATAATTCCTCAGTCAGTTATTTACCCATCAGAGCTGATTAGTGAATAACCAAATATGGATTTGCTTAACTTTTACATTCTAATTGCCCAAAGTAAATAAACATGCTAGTCATTTATTGTAATTCATTATTTCTGACTTTTTCTTAATATATTCAACTGAAATAATGTGAAATACTGTAGAAGACATAGATGCTTAGCAGAAAAAGCAGTAGTTTCTGTTGTTTTGTTTTTTCCATCAGTATAATTGGTTTTGTCTAACCAGATTTGCCAAATGTGATTTAAAAAGCTGCCCTATAATATCCATTACAGAAAACACTGTCTTGCTTATTTGATTAGAGGGCTCTCTGAAATGGATCATATCTGAATAGAAAAGACAGTGCTGACCGAGATAAATTAATTACCTGTACAGCGGAACTTCTTGCTCTTGATTTGGCTGATGCGTTTGTTTGCGAGGCGACGTGGGCTGGTGCATCGGGCGCCGCTGGTCTCTATCGGATTATCTTGCAGGTATTCAGCAAGCCACTTCAAATGGCAGTCGCACACAAATGGGTTCTGAGCTAAATGTCTACAGGAGAGAAGAGATGTTTAGTCAAAGTTGACCTGTGACACTACTCTGCTACACTATATTCTGTCCAGGAGAAATTCTTTAAAAAAAAAAAAAAAGGAACATTAAAAAAAACTTTCAAATACCAGATTCAATTTTTATTTATTTTTGTCACTCAGTTATTTTGGGCCTACATTTCCATGTCAGTGTAAAATACGCATTATCTTAGTTCCAGTGTTCTGTGTATTTTCAGTTAGCTTTGAAACCTAGAGTATCAGTGGAATTATTACTGTGACAGCAGCCACATTCTCCAAAATTATTGCTCTGGTGGAGAACAGGCATCATTCTCCTTAAAAACACAGAGAAAAAAAAGCAAAGCCAGGAATATCCCAGTATAGAATCACGACTAAGCAAACTAAACCAAACAGTGACTTGTGAGGTGCTTCCTAGTTGCTTACAAAAGTCAGGCCATATTAAAAAGCCAATTTAAAATACTTTCCAACTAAGAAATATTGAAA